ATAATTTTAGAAAAGTTCTGTTTAAGATTCTAAACTGATAGAATAATAACATTTATACGTTATATTTATGAAGCAAGGTATTGTAGTTAGGAGAAGCCCAGAATCTATGACACCTTTCACATTGTAAACACAGCTATTAAAAAGATGCGGTCATATCCACCAACTATATCATGCATTTCTAAGCTGCGCTCTCCAAAAGGTCTTAGATGCTACTGATGTATAAACCAAACCTTGCGTTACATACCAACTACTCCAGGTCCTTGAACTTCTTCTACATCACCTTTAGCATTTGTTATTCTCCAATAGCGACTGTCCAACTGACAAGCCTTCTCAGGAAGTGCATCCTTTGACATTTCAATCCTGGAGAAGGAAATGGGGTGGTAGAGACACAAATCAGGCCTTTTTTTGTTTGTTTCTTTTGCTTAAGAGCTACATCATTTGGGTTAAGAACATAAAAGGAATTTCCGAAATTGCAAAATCTTCATTCACCATCTATTTCCGGAAGTTCTCAAAGATATCGGCCTGATTAGCTAACTCTCTCATGGGAATGCTCTCATGCAACTCCCGCATCTGATTTCAGTGAGGATCAACAATAGAAAGGGCGACATAAAAATTCACAAACACTGTGCTTACAACACTCTTGTTCAAATAAAGATCAGTATGGGAAACACTTTCTAGAATACAGTGCCATGAAAAACTTCCGTTCTAAAAAAATGACAGGCTTTTATGCACTACAGGGCTATGCAGTCCATTTCCCTTTCTCCATTAGCTTCTACAAAGCTCAGAGCGAAATGTCACTGCTCAGTTACTAGCATCACCTTGACTCTGCTTCCCAATACCATTATCCTCCCCTCCTCCGGGAATCTGCTGCCTCTTGTTTTATTTTGAGTACCCTATCAGCATATGTATCATTAATTAAGCATGTCTCGGTCCTAGGCAAGATCTGAATTAAACAACAAACATCTGTGCATGTATAACTAGACACGTCAAAAGCTACATACAATACTAAAATTCTATGATGCTCCTGGGAAGTATACATCCCCCTATATAACATCATAAAGTATTTAAAACATGTCTAAAGACAAAGTATCCTTAGTCCCTTTGATCAATGAGTTGTCTTCATGTCACAGCAGAGAATACTTCTAATTATAGTGAATTTAATATTTTTTATTTCGCCAAATCCAGGGCTTAACACCCTGTTTGATATCCAGGCAGCACTCAATAAGTATATACTAGACTTTTAATTGAATAGACACAGACCAGGTTAAATATAAAAAGCATGGTGTTACGTTGGGCAATTTGATAGCTTTCCAAAAACATTACAACTCTAATTCTGACCTTTCCATATGATTACAACTTAGTGGCCCATCTTGAAAAGTGCCTGGCTCAATATTTGTATTTACAAGAAAACAACTTAGGGGTTAATACAAACTCTAGGTATTTTATAAACTATATTGTACTCACTCTTCCCATAAACAGCCTGAAGTGACCTTTGAAAATGGTTAATTATTCACTTGACTCAGAAAACCCCACAAAATCATGCAAATCAAGAGGTTAAAATCTTCGTGTTCATTTTAACAATACTCGTGAAACTGCTCATGCCACCAACGGCATGCATATCTTAAAAGCCACCAACTATCTGAAGAATGTCGCTTTATAGAAGCCGTGTGCGCCATTCCGTCATTACAATGGTGGGGTTGGGAGGTGTGCCCAGGCCAAACAGTGGGGCTGGACACAGGGTCCATGGCCGAGAAGTGCTGAATTTTGCTGCCCAAGCTTAACAATGCAGAAGTTATGCTGAACATCAGGGTGTAACTGTAGATTCTCTGGTCACTGAGCACATCCAGGTTCGTGGAGCAGGGTTTACAGCGCTTGTGGGCGGATTCACCACACATCAGCTCTCCCTGCCACACCAAGATGATCCCACTGAAAAAGGGCAGCTTGTTCCTAAACCAGAAAAATACCCCAGAGGACACTGGAGAAAAACTTATGGCCCCAGAGTAAATTCAGCATCAATAAATACAAATAGCCAAAACGGGTTTGGCTCAGTGGATAGATAGATCGTCGGCCTGCGGACTGAAAGGTCCTGGGTTCGATTCCAGTCAAGGGCATGTACCGTGGTTGTGGGCACATCCCCAGTGGGGGGTGTGTAGGAGGCAGCTGATCGATGTTTTTCTCTCATTGGTGTTTCTAACTCTCTATCCCTCTTCCTTCCTCTCTGTAAAAAATCAATAAAATATATTTTTAAAAAATAAATACAAATAAAAGTAAAAGCAGGGAAGAAACCTGACTATACTGTACAAAACTTTGTTACCCACCTTCCTCTGTATCAGCAAGAAGCTGCCTTTCAAAGTGTGTTTTCCATCTTCTATCTAATGGGGCAGTAATAACAACACTCCCAGAGGCCATATCCCATGCCTCGCTGGAAGGTGACCCATCTAACGGTCTCACCTGATTCGGTATGTGAAGAAATAGTGGGGTGGATGTACAGAGCTAAGTTCTGGCAGAAACGACGTGGAAACTGAAACTGTAATATCTCCAGTTGTTGCTACACACTCCGGATCATGGACATATCTAGGTAAATAAAAAAAATTAAACATTTTTTAGTCAGCTGACCTCAATTCTAGAAGATAAAAGGTTTAAAAATACAATGCAAAATAGCTTCGAGTTCACTTTAGGGTTGAAAATTTAAACCACATTTGAGATCTTAAAGGTATAGTCCTATTAAGCTTAGAAGAAAACTAGAAGTTATAAGCAAACCAGAAAGCTCTGAAGACTACGGATCAGCGATGGGGCAGTAAAGTAATTTACTTGGAAACTAAAAAGAGTCTGTCCCCGTTTTCAGAGCTGAGGAAATTCAGGGGACCAGCTATACCTGCAAACAGTGGTTCTGATCGTAAAAATGTGTTAGTATATTATTATAGGGGCTTCTAATGTATACTTAATCTATCATTTCTGCTAACCAGGCTACTATAAACCAATATTATCTCTAATACTATCTATAATATCTGGATGCTCCATTTAGAGATAACAAATATTTGCTACGAGTTAATAGTTACTAACTTACTATTCATACTAAATCCACTAACTGGCAAACAGTTTTTTTGTTGTTGTTGTTGTTTTTTTCCTAAAAAGAAACTATATAACTACTCTAAAGCCATAACTTTTATATCAAATCAGTTTTTCCTTTTGAGTTTTCAAAGTAAGAAAAATACTGGCTGTTCAAGTGTTTGGATGTTTTGGCCTTAAAATGAGAATAGAATAGATTTATGATGATGAGAGGTTCGGTTATGAACCTTCCTGGGAAACTTCATCTTACGATCTGTAACTGGTGATTTTTGCTCATTACAATCATTCCATCCCAAAAAGCCCCAAGTGAGATACCTGAAGATTTGGTCTCTGATGATAGGGAAACCACCTGACACAACACTGCTGACATAAGAAGTAAACCAGTCAGTAAAAGTAGCACCTGTGAACCAGAAAAGGGGGGAAAGGACAAATCGCGTTTGTAAAATCCATGCAGGAAACAAGGAAACAATTGTACCTTCGTGTAAGGTGTGATGCCGAACCCAGAAACATTTATAGATACGATTCCACTAGTCCTTTATCAGGACAATGTCTAGTCTCGTTTCTATCCCTCTTCTTCCTAGCAACCTTGCTCGGAAATCCTCCAACTAACTTCAAAGTACTTTTCACACTTGTAATCAAATAACAGATTCCTTTACTTTGTTCTGGTACAGGACTGAAAAGCTTTCTGTATGTAATTCCTTGAACAAAGAAGACATGGCTACATCTAAGAAACTACAGGAACAATATCAGCACCTATCCTCAAACAATCAGGGAATGCCCTGGCTCCAGGTACATGCTGACTTCAGGCTCAGTCTGGACATCTCACAGGAGTTATGGGCTCAGACCAATCCCAAAGTAGTTTAGGTGCGCTACTGCAGATCCAGACGCACAGCGGGCCTCCATATTCTCAGTGAGCAGCTCGAAGCGGAAAAGAATGACTGGAACAGCCCAGTCCAGACCATACATCTGATCTAGTGATTGGGTCAGTAACGAGCATTTACATAAATGATGCCTGCCCCTTCTAGTTAATACAGCATAACTCTCTCAGGTCCCCTTACTGTTAACACATCTCAGTGACTAGTGTGCATTAGTCCCTTAGCCAGGGATGCCAATGCATTCCTCTGTAATCTTATTTTTATCAACCCAGTTCCTATCTTCCCCCAGGCTAAATGTCACATGCTAAATTTACAGCATTTACTTCACATTCTGCTTTGAGAATGATAGAAGATACGATTTAGGCTGGGGTCTGAGGGTACATAGCTGTAAAGTTTTAAAGGCACCAAACTGGGAGAAAGTACACAATAGCTGGTTCTTAATGTCTATAAATGGCCCAGTCTAACTCCCTATTTATTAAATGCTATTGTATTCAAAATGACACTGATCATCTGTTTACTTGGAGCAAGATATTAAAAAGCCTATCTTTAATGACATTAACAAAGGCATTACAATTCAAAGAAGGTACAATTTTATGTCATGAGAACTAGTCATTTTCCTTAGAGTTGTAAAGTCATTTTTCATATTTCATGGTTTACATAAAAAAAAATTGGTGAAGTATATTTCAATGTACCTCAATTTATTATAATACATATTAGAACAAAGTGTGTTCTTTAAAATGAGGACAGTTTCCTTTGTATTCCTTACTCCTAAACTTATTTGAACTGAATATAGAATCCAGTTTTCTTAAATACCTATTAATAATGCACTGAAGCCGAAACCGGTTTGTCTCAGTGGAGAGAGCGTCGGCCTGTGAACTGAAAGGTCCCAGGTTTGATTCCGGTCAAGAGCACGTACTTTGGTTGCGGACACATTCCGGGTAAGGGGTGTGCAGGAGGCAGCTGATCGATGTTTTGATGATTCTAACTCTCTATCCCTCTCCCTCCCTCTCTGTAAAAAAATCAATAAAGTATATTTTAAAAAAATAATGCACTGAAGTGCTTGCTTCGCAGCACATGTACTAAAACTGGAATGATACAGAGATTGGCATGGCTCCTGTGCAAGGATGACACACAAATTCGTGAAGCGTTCCATATTTAAAAAAAGACAAAAAAAAAACCAACGCACTGGACTCCAGGAGATTCCATCTTATGTTTTACTAAAAATCCCAAGACTGTCAAACCTAGATGACCCAGATGTAATTTCTGTGTTCCAAGGTAGTCTACCTTTTAGAGTCAGCCTGCGTCTTGAGTTTCTCGGGTAGCACTGGGGCTTTATCGAGGCAGCCTGAAGGAAACTGCTTTCTCATCTTCCCTCCCAGCACTAACTTCCCATCTCATCTCAAATCTCTCGCTTTGCTCTCCCTTCCAGGGGAAACCCCAGCCACCAGAACAGTATTATCAGACTCAGTATTCTGCTGCAGGGGCAGGTCTCCCAGCCCGGGTCAGACCCGCACCACACCGAGAGCAAGAAGCTCCAGGAGCCTGGCAGGTGGCTTCCTTCAGGATTCAGGCAGCTGTTAGTGTGTAAGCTCAGCAGCACCATGCACCAGAGCATGGTGATCACCTCTGAGGGTACGTGCCATGCGAAGATACCAAAGAGGGCAAGGAGCAGGAGCAAAACCCAGCAAGTACTTCACTTAGAAACCACAGACCACATGAGTCAGGGTGAGAGACAGCTAGGGACTGAGTGTCAAAGCTTTTTATAACTTTCTACGTAGGAGTGAGAGCTTGATATTGTGAAGTGAGCCACAAAATCTAGAATGGGCCGCAGTATAGACTCTGTTCAAGCTTCCAATTAGAAGAAATAATTAAACACAGACGCCTTAGCTTGCAAGGCCCCTTTGCTATTGGTCTATGGGGATGTTTGACATGTGCCAGGAGTACCTTTAAAAAGCTGAGTGGGTAGTCAGCAATCTTCTCTTAAGTGAGCAAAATTTAAGCAAAACAAGACTAACTGAATAGCAAAGAGCTGAGCAGCACTTGCATACAAATTAAATTTCTCAAATCCTGTGAGAAATACCCCTTTAAGGCCTAGAAAAGCTAGTTGTACCAAAGAGTTCCTGAAGCCCATTTTATACTGGTTTTCAAAGACTGCTCTTTGGCGGTATCTAGTGTTATTTAACAGTATTTTACTACAGGATCGGCACCGAAAGAGAACAAGTACTGTCTTGGCCAGTATAGCTCAGTTGATAGCATCCCATGCACCAAAAGGTTGCCGGAATGATTCCCAGTCAGGGCACATGCCTGGGTGGTGGGCTTGGTTCCCAGTAAGGGGCGAGCAGGAGGCAGCCCCTCGATGTTCGCTCTCACATTGATGTTTCTCTCTCTCCCTCTCCCTCTAAAAACCAATTAAAAAAAATTTTTTTTAAATGCAACATTAAAAAAAAGAAAGTACAAAGTAATTTTATATATCTACATCTCTAATTATGTATTAATATGAGTGATGGAAAATACATGTGCATGTAAGGGAACTATATACTTACTCATATTAATTCTATACATTTTAGTGTTCTATAATAGAGTCCTAGAGCCCAAGATTGTATCGGGCATGGCTTTTTTTCCAAATAGAAACCAAATTCAAATAAAGTATAAGGGCTATTCTAACGAGTGCCTAGATATAGTACTTTTTAAACCAGCAAGCCTTAAGAAATACAAGTATAAAATTGTCAGCTGGTTAAGTAACTAAAAAGTTTCTACCAATTTAATATTTTTGACAAAAGGAAAAAATAAAACTTTTTTTCTCCTACCTATGATAAACATGTCAATAGCAGCTGGATTCCGAGCCATTTGGTCCTAGGTGAGAAAAAGAATATTTTAATTAAGAAAAATACTCTCCACCATGTGTTTTGTTTTGAACAAATTCACAATTTTTTATTAAAAACTAATAAAAAATGAGATAGGCCTGTACTCCCCAAAGAGTCCAAGGCAAGAGGAATCACCTTATATTAACTAGGTTCTGAGAAAGAAAGAAAGAAAGAAGGAAAAAAAGAATTATAAAAATACATTTTCTTAATTTCCCATTGTTCATTATTTGTACTCTTCCCTGAAGAAAAGGAAAAACAGATATAAAACAACTTAAGTGCTCCAACCAAATTCTTGGACATTTCTCACACTTGTCAGCTTCTGCTTCATGATTTCTTTTCTTTTTTTTTTCTTTTTTTTAAAAAAATATATTTTATTGATTTTGTACAGAGAGGAAGGGAGAGAGATAGAGAGTCAGAAACATCGATGAGAGAGAGTCATCGATCAGCCGCCTCTTGCACACCCCCTACTGGGGATACGCCTGCAACCAAGGAACATGCCCCTGACTGGAATCGAACCCAGGACCTTTCAGTCCCCAAGCCGACGCTCTATCCATTGAGCCAAACTGGTTTCGGCTGCTTCATGATTTCTATATTTAGGTTCTTTCTAAAAAGCACCATTAAATGCTTATATACTGCTATTACTGTGACAATGAACCAAAAAAACTGTCCTTTAGGAAAAGAGTTAGGAAGTTAAGGTAAGAAGAAATACAGCTACTATCCTAGGAGAAAAGGTTTTGGATTCAATCAAGAAACCCGAAGAATTCTATGTTATCGATAGTCGCTTTTCTCGATAAAGAGATCAAGCCATCTTCCTATAACCTTACAGAGGCATCAAGTCAAAAATGAGGTAAAAGATGTGAAAATGCTTAGAAAAATGAAAAGCTTTGAAGGCTCTTAAAATATTTTAAATGTTTTATGGAGTCACATATCTCAGATAACTATAAAAAGTATTTAAGTTTCTCTTTTAAGTTAAAAGTTCACAGCTAAGTAAAAATGAAAGCAGAAGTTGTTACTAAAAAATTAATGAAAACTGAAGAAATAAGACAAACAAAATACTAAAATCATAACAAAAGTCTTCTATTAATAAAAAGGATCTTCATTTTTCAACAACTCAAAGACCTACTGAAGAGTTTAAAAAGTTCCTATTTCGCCCTAACCCATTTGGCTCAGTGGATACAGCGTCAGCCTATAGACTGAAGGGTCCCAGGTTCGATTCCGGTCAAGGGCATGTACCTTGGTTGCAGGCACATCCCCGGTAGGGAGTGTGCAGGAGGCAGCTGATGGATGTTTCTCTGTCATCGATGTTCCTAACTCTCTATCCTCTCTCTTCTTCTCTGTAAAAAATCGATAAAATATATATTATATATAAAAAAAAGTTCCTACTGCCCTTGGATCAAATGATGCTCAAAAGCTAAAATTTTAAAGTTAGAAATGTATATTAAAATGAATTACTTCAACAAAAAGCTCATTCGTTTTCCTTAAACTTAAAATGCCTTCACACAAGTCACAGCTTTGTGTCTGCATGAACCACAGTTTGCACTGTTTGTCCGCTGGTAACATTTCCTTTTGGCATCCCATGCCACTGTGTCTGGTTAGCTAGGTCTATAATTAAATTGCATAATGCCCTACACCCACTCAACAACCCTGAAAATTCCCAATGCTCACAGTTGTACGCTCATCAGAACACATCTTAAAGCCACACTTACGCACACTTCCTACTTACTGGGCATTGGTAGAACACTTCATTCTTGTTTCGGCCCTCTGCAGCTTCCACTGCTATGTACTGACTCAAACCGGTGTGTATGCAGAAGGTCAGAGGGAGACAGTATTTCAGTCCCTGTCTCTGCTGAAAGCCTCCAGCGGCCGTGTCCACATCTAACAAGTCTTCCGAACGATAGTGATTGGACAGCGCCATGCTTCCCAACAACCTGAGGAGACACTCAAAAGTTTAATCCGCTGCAGTGCCAAACAAACACCTGTGCTTCATCTTCCTCATGAATGATAATTTCACACTGACAGCTTTAGAAGAACTGGTTAACATGTCAATTCTAAACTGGAAATGCCCAAAACACTGTAACTTATACATTACAGCCAAACTCTTGAGTGGAAAGATTGATTTAAATTAAAATCCTAAATGTCTAAAATGTGTGTCAGCTTTATAAAAAAAAAAATAGTTTTATTGCATTCTGGAACCTATCTTGCTATGATAAACTGATTTGCTTATGTTTTGCTATATATACCTATATGACTAATATAATGTTTCAAGGGATAAATTCTCTGATACCTTTGTGTTGTTACAACCTTTAGCTTACTCTATCCTACTAGGCAGTATACATGTTAATCAGCCTAAACCTTAACCACATTTCATTAGCTTGGAATGCATGGGATCTAAATTCATCTCACTGCATGTTCATGAGAGTAACTCAGGTGTAGGTCCTTGATGAGATTCCTATCCCACATCCCACCACTGGGCAGGGGATAGATAGAAATTCGTGTTGAAATGCATAGCCTTCTTGTCATGACACTTCTGGGCAGCTCTTTTAATAAAATTCTCTAATTATAGGCTATGCTCTTGAAGTGTGACAATTTTTCAATTCTGTCAAATTTCAGTTTGATAGGAAAAATAGGGAGAGAAAAGCCAATAACTTAGGGTTATCTAGTCCTAACTGCCCATATTGCAGAAATGTACTCAATAAGAGAGTACAGGGAATGTAGGAGGTGATCATACCGAGATTGCAACGTAGTATTCAGACCTGAAATGGAAACAGAGCCTCAAAGGATTCTTCACACACCGAGACATCGTGTTCCAGTAAGAACAATGCAAAGTTCTCCCTGAATTCTTATTGGCATCGCACAAATGCAATGTCACTGAAATAGCTTAGTTTCATTAAAAAAGAAAAAAAAAAAGAAAAAAGAGTAGACCCATTCAAAACATATGGTTTTTAAAACCATGAGTGAATTTGACAGTTGCTAACTACATGGTCTGCTTTTCCGGAAAGGTTCCTCGATGAATACTTCATCTTTTGAAGTTTAAAATAGGCCATTTAATCATAGACCATGCTTGAATAGGACAAAACTATATGTTTTTTAGTTTAGTACATGTAGTTCTGAACAAGTTATTGTTTTTACATGTATGGCACACAGAATTTGCGCCAAAACAAATGATCTGGCTGTAAACAAGATAAACGCTTGAAGGGTGCTGAACAGTGTCAGCTAAAATGTACCTCCACATGCATTGCCCCACAACCACCCAGACTCCACTTCGTTCTAAGGAGGTGCTGACAAAGACCAGGTT